TTTAGCAAGGTGGCCAGCAGTCCAGTTCAGTCCTGGTTTGAAATGGGTCCAGGACCTGCCCCTGCTGCAGCTCTGCATTTAAAGTGTATTAGGAGCTGGGTGGTAGTCAGCCTGGCTCAAGTCCGGGAGCTCACACCCACCCTATACAGGGACTACTGACACCCCGCGCTGCTGCCTCTTAATCAGAGGTAGCAGCACAGAGCAACAGGCAGCCGGTCTGCGAGGGGAGCTGTCTTTTAAACTCCCACCTGGCACCTTGCACTGCTGCCTCTGATACAAAGGCAGCAACACAGAATGTTAAGGGGGCTCCTCAGGAGTGAGGAGTGAGTTCTTGAGGTTACTCGACTATTCAATTAACCAGTATTTAACATCCCTAGTTCATTGTACCTCTAGAACTCATCAGGTGATGTTAGTTCAGGGAGTGTTTGAAGCAAAGGTGAAAGTAAGTCACTGGGTCCCAGTGCAGCACACGGGTAAGAGACTAGTCAGCCCTGCTGCTCAGGCAATGCGGTTCTCTGCCACCCTGCATATGGGGATCCAGCATATGGGCAACGCAGTTCACACTGCACTCCACCAGGGATCTAGCAACCAGGCAGCATACAGTTGCCGTAGTCCCAGCCCCAAGCTTCCCCCACACCTTGCCAATCCCCTGTCCTGAGTTCCCACAAATCCCTACCTTAAGTCCCTCCATACCTAAAAAACCCTGCCCTGACTTCTGCACCCCACATCCTCCACACCCCTTCCTGAGCCCCCCACCTCCCAATCCCCTGTATGGAGACCCTCGCCCCCATCCCCAATCCCTGCACTGAGATCTGAACCATCTAAGCCAACTTACTGGTGCTGTCCTATGCAGGGGAGTAGACAGCCTCACCAGGCCCCAGGGTGAGGTGGGTGGGTGTGTTAGCTCTACACTCCTGGAAGGGGAGGGGCTGGGGCAGCCAGCTCTCAGCTCCACCAAGACAGTGGCACACCCCCTTCCCCTGTGCTTGGTGCTGCCTGGCCCATCTAAAACAGCCCTTTGGTTGCAATATAAAGGGCCTTGGGCATTGGGTAATGCAGTAGCAGCAGAGGTGGCTAGGAGCCCAAGGCTCTTTTCAATTGCTGGCCTGTGGTGCAGTTGCTATACTCCCACTTGGTGGGACTGGTCCTATTTGCAAGCTCTTCTCCCCACATACACAACTCCTTGCTCTGGTTGCAATACAGCAGTACCTGTAAGAAATCTAATCTCTTTCACCCTTAGGTGATTATAAGTCCCTATTAAAATGGCAGGCATCTGTTCCTGAGTCAATTTCAAATTCAATATTCTTTCCATCAATATTCATTTTCACTCTCCAGGCAGTCTGTATCATAAGGTGTCATAAGAAGGAGGAAGAAAACTTGTCCATCTTGGCCTCTGAGGATAGAACAAGAAGCAATGGGCTTAAACTGCAGCAAGGGAAGTTTAGGTTGGACATTAGGAAAAAGTTCCTAACTGTCAGGATGGTCAAACACTGGAATAAATTGCCCAGGGAGGTTGTGGAATCTCCATCTCTGGAGATATTGAAGAGTAGGTTAGATAAATGTCTATCAGGGATGGTCTAGACAGTATTTGGTCCTGCCATGAGGAAGGGAACTGGACTCGATGACGTCTCAAGGTCCTTTCCAGTCCTAGTATTCTATGATTCTATGTATGGCCCCAGAAACAAAGCTCTTGATTTTGTATGTAACCCCCTTTTTCCTCCCTGGGTTACTAAGGAGCCGGTCACACTCACAGGTGTGCCTGGGCGCCTGATGGTCTTGACATAAAAGGAGATCCTGAGTACCCCAGTGGTGATGTTTGGTTGGGGAAAACCTATCCACCCCCTTACTGTAATCCCTTGCTCATAAAGAATGTACAATGGCGGTGCCTCCACCTGGCTGGCCCTGTACACACTTACTGGTGTGCCTTGGGAACTTCCAGGAATAAACTTATTCCATCAATAAACTGGATCTAACTCCAGAACAACAATCAGAAATCATAAATAATATACATCTAATAGATTGCATTAGAATGAACAACCTTTACTTAACTTTAAAAAACAGGACTTAACAAATTAATAGTGAATATTATCAATTAACAAAGTACACAGAAGTAAAAGGAACTTATCTAGCTGCCATTGGCATTGCCAATATTTATCCCACCCAAGAGTGTGCCCACCGCTGGACTCGGAGTCCCAACCTCTTGCTTGCGTGAGCACGCTTGAAGAACTGTAGCTGTAATGGAGATTCTCTGTAGGTAGTATGCATGTGGGTCCAAGCTATGCAGCAGCTCTGGTTCAGTGGGTTGGCCTCTCTGCCTTTCTTTGAACCCAGAGTTAGTCTATCTCTGAGGTCTGTCCCAGGCAGCATTTTCCCAAAGATGCCCAGTTACTCACAGTTTCCTTCTGTGTGCTCGATACAGAGTAGCTTCTAGTCACAAGTACAGCCAAAGGGCCTCCCCTCTAGGGCAATCAGAAGCAACCTGCTAGATTCCAATTCCAAAGGCTCACTGTCCCAGTCTGTAACTGCAACATAACAGCTTCTGAACTGGATCAAACTCCTCCACAGCAGCTTGGCTCCCTTTCTGCTCCAAAAACAGAGGGAAGAGTCCACAGACTGCTGAGTCTTCCTCCACACATAGAGAGTCTCAGAACTCCCAAACAAAAGTCACTTCCTTCCTGGTTTCCTCCAGGGCTCATGGGAATTGTAGTCTCTGGGGCTAGACTGCAGCACACATGATCTTCCGAGAGAATAAGCAGAGGTGCCTTTAGCAAGGGGACTACATGTAGAATAGTAGTCAGCTCCCTGGCTGCCTTGAAAAATGCAGGTGATGTAAAACGTCCATATTTTGTGCATTTGTTACATCTTGTGCTTTTGGCAGGACATGTATCATCTCTTGGTATATGAATTTTCTACATCTTGTGCATATAGACTGAAAAGCTTTTGTGTTTGTCTGGAATTTCCACATAGGTGCAGGGTTTTTCTTGCAATGATTTTTAGGACTCATGAGTCCATTTACAGCTTCTAAGCTAATTTCAGGTTTTTCAGATTTGACAATACTCCAGGTTTTTCTGTTTTACTAGTCCACCTGCTTTGCTATTTGAATATCTATATGTAGGTTTAAGTCTATTTTTTATTGTTGCTGATGTGAAAGGCTGTTATGTGTCAACTCCATAATCAGCCTGTCTCTAATAGTTTCATGTTTGGCTCAAAACTATTATTTTTGGGACTGCAAATGTATACAAAACTCTTATAAAAGATCCAACTTTTTCTCTGGATTCCTGAATTCTCTGGTGGAAATATGTTCTTTCTTAAACCACATTTCTTGGAGGCATAAAGTATACATCAAGCATAGCCAAGAGAGTCTTTAAGGGTATGTCTACACTGCATCCCTAGTTCAGACTAGGGATGCAAATGGAGATGACCGAAGTAGTTAATGAAGCGGGGATTTAAATATCCCATGCTTCATTAACATAATCTCGCCGGCACGCTAGTTCAAATCACAGCTGATTTGAACCAGGAAGTGCATGCCGGGACGCGTTAGTTCGGACTAAAGCCCTAAAATGAGGAGTAACGTTAGTTCGGACTAAGGGCTTTAGTCCGAACTAACGCGTCCCGGCGCACACTTCCTGGTTCAAATCAGCTGTGATTCGAACTAGCGCACCGGTGAGATCATGTTAATGAAGCGTGGGATATTTAAATCCCTGCTTCATTAACTACTTCAGTCGTCTCCATTTACATCCCTAGTCCGAACTAGGGATGCATTGTAGACGTACACTCATTGTCATATTTGTGACTGTCATCAGTAAAGGCAAAAATATAGTCTTCCAGCTTCTTCAGAGCAGAAATTAAAGCGCATGGCTGGATGTCTCCAATTCTCTTGCTGAGTTTATTTCAAACATAAAATATTGCTTCAAGCCTGTCTATTGTGAAGGTTTACCAAAGTTCTCTGGGGCATCTTGCAGCTTTTTGTTGCTTTTTTTCCTTCTGTGTCTGTTCTCCTCTGGCACTAGTACATTTCTGACACCATGTACCTGGTATGTTTCAGGGTAGGTTCTTATACCACATGGACTGGTTACATTACAGTCTTCTATCCCAGAGAGAGAAATCAAAGATATGTTTACTGTAAGATCCTTTAATGTACTGCTGGAGTGGCTTGTGTGAGTTTGTTAAATGTGACACCTAGTGGTTGAATAGTATAATACGAAAGCTTCAGAGGCGTAACCGAATTAGTTTGTAACAGGAAAAACTTAAACAACAAATAGATTAGTAGCACTTTAAAGACTAACCAAACAGGGTTGTGCCCATGAAAGCTCATAATACCATCTACATGTTTTGTTAGTCTTTAAGGTGCTATTAGTCTATTTGTTGTTTAGTATAATACAGTTTAGTGTTTTGTTATAGTATGAAAGTGGGGATGTCAGTATAAAGGTGTCTGTTACTGATATAGCTTTTCTAAATTTCAGAAAATGAGCTACCTTCTATAAGAACCTTTACTGAAGTATAACTGTGCCCATACTAGCAGGATGTTATTGCAATTTAACTGAACCAATATAATTAAAGTGGTACAATTTATGTTTAGAGACAATCTGAGCCTGGAATTTATCTGGCAGAGGGTGGTGGCCCATTAGCCAGGCAAGACACCAACAGCATGTCTATACTAGGAAATTATTTCAAAAATAGCTTATTTCAAATAATAACTTCCAAAATAACTATTTCAAAATATCATGTCCACATTACAGGGAAGCCTCAAAATTAGTCCAAGGCAGGATACCTTAATGTGAATGTGTTACCTCAACTTAGAGCCCCAGGAAGCACTAGGGAGTAATTATTTTGAATGACTCTAGGGAATAGTATTTCAAAATAGCAGCAGTGGAGCGTCCTCACTACCGTTATTTCAAAATAACTATTTCAAAATAAGCATTAATCCTCGCAGAAAGCAGGAGTTATTTTGAAATAACCAGATCCTTATTTTGAAATAACTGGTTTGGTAGTGTCGATGCTCCCTTTGTTATTTTGAAATAAGGGGAGTTATTTCAAAATAACTTCCTAGTATAGACCAGGGCCAAGAGATTCACAAACAAGACAGACACATCCTTTCTGAAACTCATTGTTTCCTGCAGTAGTCCAGGGTGGACATGCCATGTGTGAAGACCAGAATGGGAGAAAACCTGAATAGTCTTGTGTGAGAAGGGGATTGGTGGGTTACTTAAGATCAGAGCAGATGAGTGGCAGGCAACTTCATAAGATACAAGAACAGTTGTGTAGGGAGAAGTACCTATTTTAATGTAAAACGTCAATAGAAATAAAATGGAATGAGAAAACAGTGTGGCAAGGATGAATCAAGATAAATAGACTGCACATTAACTAATGGCCAAGAGGCCTCAAAACAGCCCTCAGGACATTCTTGGAAGAACACACCAAAAAAAGTGTGTGATAGCATGTGTATAGATTTCTGCCAAGATACAAATGCCTGATCCAGGCAATAGCTAGTATAAGCTGGGGTGCACATATGCACCATACATTTAAAGAGACATTCAATTATTTGCTTAAGTCTTATTTTTATTTTGTACTATGTTTGGCTTTTTTGTTTCTTTCCTTTAATGGCTGTTTAGTTTCCAAGCATTCTAACTGTGCAAATATACTATGTTCAGGCAAAGGCATTGCTAAAATGTTGTACAAGAAACCTGTCATTATATTTCAAGCAATTACTTTGATATCATCTTTCTTTTGTTTACAGCAGGCTACCATGAACAAGGATATCCCTCAGGAAGAAGGATTTGGGAAGGGAAGGGAAAGTAGGGAAAAAAGATTCCGAAAACAATATTTGGCTTGAAACTTCTTCTAAGAAAAAAGTGAATCATGCACGAAGTTGCACTGCAACAAAGAAATCTTGTTTGCTAGCCAAAAAGGTTTGTTATAGCACTGACAGGAAACACAGAAAAAAAAATGTGAGATACAGAGGATTTTATCTGAATTTCCAATTTTAAAAAAAAGCAACTTTGCTCAATATATTTTTATCCTGAGTGGATTTGTTCTCTCCAACAGCTAATGGTATAATCTTTGGCTCCTTGTTCAGAGGCTTTTTGGTTTAGCCTTAATTCTTTGATGCAAGGAAAAAAGAGCACAGTTCATAGTCATTCCTTTTCTTTGTGCAACAGTCTCCCAGAAACATGAAAGTATGATTCATTTCATAACATGGGTGAGGAGAAGATCAATGTTGCAACTACCTCTAGAGGGCTGAAATGTTTAAGATATTGTCCTTGGATTCAGAAAGACTGATAACATCAGCCTTGAAATTTACAGCTTAAAGTCTGATTTTATACATTTCTCATAAGAGTAGTCCTATCAAATTAATCTTCCACTGTAATACACCCATTTTATGATGGTGTGAGTCCACTAACTTTATTGGAATCTCTCTATTTAAAACTAGAGCACACACAATGGTCAATCAGCCCCAGTTAGGTGTGGAACAGTATCCAAGGGCTTGATCAAGGTTTCAGGGTTTATCCCATGTTCTTTACATGCTCAAGCCTGGTCTACACTAGACCAGGAAGATCAACTTAAAGTGCACAACTCCAGCTACGTAAAATGCATAGCTTGAGCCGGCTTACCTTAAGCTGAGCTTTGGTGGCAAACACACTACTAGAGGCCAGAGGGGAAAATGCTCCTGTTGGCTTCCCTTACTCCTTCCCTTACTCCTGACACCGGCAGGAGTTGCCCTTAGTTTTGATTTATGGATCTATACTAGACCCGTTAAATCAAACACCAGAAGATCAGCCTCTGACATGCCCTCAGAACTCTGCCTGAAGTCAGAATCAGAACTGATACTTAGGTTCAAAACACCAATAGGAAGATTGTGATGCATTCCTACGAAATATGAAAACTTAATATCGTTGTTGTAGTCAACGTGGAATTTTAGGTGTGCAAAATTAATGGAGGATTTATATTCTGACTGCTCTTGATCTATAAACAGAACTCCTGTTGAGGCAGTCTTCACATCTTTTGACATATGCCAGAGCTTTTCTCCTTAGTATTAAAAAACAAAAACAAAACACATTTGCATTGTCTGAATGTGTTTCTTTGCCTTGCTTATAAAAATCACCATTTGTGAAAGTCATATTCCTGACACTTGACAGTTTTTCCTCAGTAAAGAAATGCCAACTATTACAATACACATGTTCAGGTTTGATGTTCTCACTGGTCTCTAGTTCAGGCACATTTCGATTGCTCAGGCTTAGCTGCACCCCACTATCATTTCTTAGTTATTTAGCCTCTGAAATTCCTTGTGTGGGATAGGAAGTTTTTCTCCAAGGATGCAGTAAGTTTAAGGCTTGTTTAAAATGTTATTTATTGCACATAAGAAAGGTCGTATTTCTGACATAGTCATGGAGGAGCAGAAGCAGGCCAAGGGCCCTTGTGTCTGTAGCTGGTAGAGTCCAAGAGAAGGCTTTAATATAAGAGGTAGCCTGATGACACAGAAGGACAGAGGAGAGCAGAGAAAGTGCTAAATGAACAAAAGAGAATTCAGAGAGAAGTACAGTGAGAGTGGGCAGCTGTAAAGAGCTTTTCAAAGAGCATGATCATTTTGAATGGGCCCCTGAAATGAATGAAAAGCCAGCAGAATTATTTAGGGTTTATTCTGACGTGGCCATTCTTTTTTGTGTGTGCGGGACTGTGTGTGCAGGGTGTGAGCTCTGCTAGCTTAAGGAGGGATTCTGAAAATCAGGAAGGTGAATGACACAGGAATACAAACTCCATTCTGGGACTCATTTTAGCTGAACAGACTCTATCATATCAAATGTTTGGAGAAGGAGAACTTTATAATTTAAGACTGATGCAAAAAAGCAAAAGAAGCACCACATCCCCAATTCTCTGTTAAATCATACTGGACAAAGTAAGGGGGGAAGGGTTATTTGGACTAATGATAGACCAAAAGTACCATTTGGTCTCTTAGACTGAAGGACACTGTGATGCTTAATATTCACCAAGGATATTAACTCTTAGATGAAATGCACTATGTGGTATAAGTATGAATTGTCATTATGAATTGTAGCTTTGAAAAACAATTTTCTCTACTCTAACTTGTTACTATAAAGCATTATTTTTAATTTAGACCGGGGAAAAAAGGATGAACAGCTACTGACAAATCTTTTTAACTCCATCTTTAGTACCTTTTTCATCTTTCATCATTCTGTGCCAGTGTGGACACTAAGAAATTCCATTTTATAAGGAGCCAGGAATTCAGGCTGGGATTTTCAGATAAGCCTATGTTTCCAATTGAAAGTCACAGGGAACTGGTCACCTAACTCCATAGGCTTCTTTGAAAATTGCATCGTCAATATACACTATAATATTAATAAAATGCTTCCATCAACTCTAATTACGCTTTCCCCCAACTCCCAGCCCCCACCCTTGAACTGTTCTGCATCTGGGTATCTAAATACTTCTAACAGCTGTGTATTGCAGTCTTTGCTTTCTCCATCTGCTTGTTTGTTTTTATTTTTCAGGCTGCTATTTTGTATAAGCAAAATTATCCTTTCATGTCTCCTCTGTCTCTGTTGTTTCTTCTGGATAGTGTAAGTTACATCTACCGTGATGTTTCTCAATTATACATTTAGAGTCTACTAGGTAAATCTTATAACAGCGGATGAAGATAGGGAATGCACAACAACATGTTCAATTGATGCTGTAGAATTTCAAAATAGATCTCTGGAATTTTGCTGAAATTTTCTGCAGTTATTCTGACCATTGGCATACGTTTCCTTAGATTTACAATAAATCCTAAAATAATAGAAAGATGAAATCATAATACTGATTTGACAGAAACAAGTTAGTTTTTGCTTGAGTAATAGTAACATTACACTTTGTTAGATAATCTAAATATATGGATGATAGAGCTCTTTAACCAGATGGATGACCCCAGAGACATATCAACTCAGATTTCAATTCCAAAACATTTCTTTGTCTTTGGATAAGGATGTTTACAGAATTAAAGGATGCACACTGACCTTTGGAAAATTAACTTGAGAACCAGCAATTTATCTCTTATATCCTGGAAACAAAACTAGGCCAAGGTTTCCATGCTCGGTCTCCTAAATAGTTATGGATTACTGAGCTTTCTTTATTCTGAACCACTAAGTAAATAAGGTAAGAACCAATGCCGCAATTCAGCAAACCACTTAAACACGTGCTGAACTGTAGGCGTGTGCTTTTGTGCTTTGCTGAGTAGGGATGGTCTATAAAAGTACTTGACTGCTTCAATGCACTGTGGCTTAACAAGTTAGCAAGATTGAATGGAAATGACAGATGTCACTGTATGTCAAGCCCATAATATTGCTTTTAGTATCCTGTAGCTTCCAAATTAATTGATACAGCTTTTTCAACTTTTTCCACATGAATAGAGTCCTTCATGAAATAAATTCTAGGATTGGGTCTAACACATGTTTCAGATTACTTTCACTTCTTAGATTTATTTTTAATAGTTTTTCCAACTTAAACAGGTGATGAATGTTAACTGGGAGGCATCATGGTCTAATGAACTGAGCAAAAGATTAAGGAACTCACTGAATTCTAATTCTAATTTTCTGTGACCTTGGGAAAGACACATTGTCAAATTTGCCAAATGGCTTCTAACTATGAGTGCTGGTCTTTGACACAGTTTAGACCTGATCATCCACAGCTGGAAGATTGACGAGCATATGATATGTAGGACTGAGCCTCTGGGGGCATCAAGACTTAAAGCTGGGGGTGTTTTTCCCAGCTCAAGGTGACGTATTTGCATTGGTTCTGATTGAGATAGCATGCTAAAATATAGTATAGCCACAGTGGGATGAAACCTATGGTCTCGGGTAGGTACAAAATTCAGGTTGCCTAATCCATTTTGCTGCTCATACTGCCACAGCTACACTCTATTTTTAACATGTTAGTTCAATGAAAGATAGCACAGAGATGTCTCCTCAAGCTGGGACTCACTTCAAGTTCCAGAAGTAGTCATGTCCTTAGAAACATCTAAATATTCCTAGGTAAATTCTGGCTTCTAATTTACAGACATAGGGTACGTCTACACTACAGCGCTACTTCGAACTAACTTAGTTCGAATTAGTTAATTCGAACTAAGCTAATTCGAACTAACGCATCTAGAACTAAAAACTAGTTCGAACTAGCAAAACGCTAGTTCGAACTAACTTTCCTATGCGCTACACTAGCGCTTCGCTAGTTCGAATTTGAATCGAACTAGCGGAGCGCTTAGTTCGAACTAGGTAAACCTCATTTTACGAGGACTAACGCCTAGTTCGAACTAGCAAAACGCTAGTTCGAACTAACTTTCCTATGCGCTACACTAGCGCTTCGCTAGTTCGAATTTGAATCGAACTAGCGGAGCGCTTAGTTCGAACTAGGTAAACCTCATTTTACGAGGACTAACGCCTAGTTCGAACTAGCAAAACGCTAGTTCGAACTAACTTTCCTATGCGCTACACTAGCGCTTCGCTAGTTCGAATTTGAATCGAACTAGCGGAGCGCTTAGTTCGAACTAGGTAAACCTCATTTTACGAGGACTAACGCCTAGTTCGAACTAGCAAAACGCTAGTTCGAACTAACTTTCCTATGCGCTACACTAGCGCTTCGCTAGTTCGAATTTGAATCGAACTAGCGGAGCGCTTAGTTCGAACTAGGTAAACCTCATTTTACGAGGACTAACGCCTAGTTCGAACTAGCAAAACGCTAGTTCGAACTAGTTTTTAGTTCTAGATGCGTTAGTTCGAACTACCTTTCTAGTGTAGACATACCCATACATATTCTGAAAGCCATAAAAAAGCCTTTGAAAGAATATCTGAACTTCTGATCACCTTCCTTAACCAAATTGACACACTTCTTACGCTTGCAGATTGCCAAATCTCTTATGGAAATCTGAAAATAGATGGGCACTCTTATCCACACAGCTTCACTGTGTCAAAAATCATCTGCTTAGTTTGACATTATTTGATTCTCCTTCGTTTACAAATAGAAATTGGGTTACCTATCACTCTGACACTAACCACACTGGCAAACTAAACAATAAATAAGGACTCATGAACAGATTCATTTTAAGTATCAGAGGGGTAGATGTGTTAGTCTGGATCTGCAAAAGCGACAGATCCAGCCTAACAGATGTATTGGAGCATATGCTTTCATGGGCAAAGATGAAGAGGGTCTTTGCCCACGAAAGCTTATGCTCCAAAACATCTGTTAGTTTATAAAGTGCCACAGGACTCCTTGTCACTTTTGCAGATTCACTGTAGTCCCATCTCTGTCTTAGTCACTGGACCTAATGCCAATATTAAAAAAACCCAACTATTTCTATTTAGAGAGACAGAGAGACTAACATAGAGCCAAACTACCCAGGAGTAACCAAACACATAACAAAGATAATATTTTAGCAGGTTCCTGTGTGCTTCAGGTGTTCAGTTTCTGATGCATCAGACTGCTAGTCCTCTCCTTTCAAAGCGTGAACACACAGTAACGTACCAAGGATCAACTTTTAATGGGGCGCTCTTATCCACTCTTATCATGCAAACACCACAGACCAATCATAAATATATGGGCACCAGAAGTGGAACACTATTGCAAACACCCTGGTCTCACAACACTTTTACTCATAGTAGTTTATATCTTCTCCACTGGCCAGCCTTTCAAAGGTTTCAAAGATTTTAAGGCCAGAAAGCATCATTATATAATCTAGTCTGATCACACTTCTCAGTAGTAGGTTCCCTAGCCCAAAAAACAACAGTTTACCATGCACAACTGATCTGTGAAATCCTAATTCAATGCCAATTCGGTGCTGTCCCCATCACTCACATGGTCATCCACATCCGAGTCTTCGTCCTCTGCTAGTAATTGTATAAATAGCTCTGCTGCAATGTGCGATGTCCTAAGCCAGGAATGGGGAACCTTTTTTTGATCAGGAACCACATAAAAATCAATCAGGGACCATATACAAGTGAAGTAAAAACAAAACAAAAAAACCAAAAAAAAACCCTCACTATGGCCCTCAACTAAGAAGGAGCAAGATTCTTCACACATCTCCCTCACGCACCAGAGACTAGAGGGGTCCAGCCTAGTAGATTTTGTGTGCAGTGGGGGCCCACCCATGTCCTAAGCACATCAAACACAACATGGGAGAGAATTCTGAGATCCAGATGCTGGAGTTTACAGCAGGGACTGTCATTCAAGTTGCATGCAAGTCAGCTGGAAGCCCGGGGATGGCTGGGGAAGCAAAGAAGTGGCTGATGGGATGTTTATTAGCTTCCCAAAATGCATAGCATTACATTACATGTGCCAACAATGCTTAGCAACTGAGGGTGACTCCAGGCACTGTGGGATGCTTACTCAGATAACTTTGCTCTTTCTGTTAACAGGGGTGCTAACAATGTGGCCATGAAATGTTGACAATGGGAGTCAGAAAAACAGGTTTAACCAATTTTCAGTTTTGGCAACTTTTGCATGTCCACACTTTCATCCCCAAAACTTTCGAGTGTAGACTAAGCCTTAGAAACTTCCTGTCATGCAGGGGGAAAGCAGCCATGAGCACATTTTTAAGGAAAGCCGTGTGTGCGCCCCTCATCAGCCAGGTTACTCTCCTGACTGGTGCCTGGGACAGATAGGCCATATCCTCACCTCCATCATTGCCAACACCTTTTGGAATGTTTTGCATTGCAGGCAGCAAAGACTGCAGCTGCAACTATCCACCCCAGTGACAGTCATAAGATACAGGAAGGCTCCTTGTGCCCTCCCTCCCCTTTCATATCTGAGCTATACTTAGTCCTTTACAGATGTAAATTATCCTTCTGGTCTAGCTTTGTCAGCTGCGACCATCTTCCTATTGAGTATTCTGCACCCACTGCACTTCAGTAGCCCAGAGTCAGACTAGGCATACCAATCTTAAAATATAGCTATCTTTATTAGATACACGACAAGATGGCTCCTGCATACTGAGCATGCACACCCTGAGCATGCCTACATCATCTGAGAGCTCCCTTAACTTGGGGCCCTCTGATTATTATGCATTACTCATTTTAAATGACCCAGTACCACAATTTACAACATAAATGCCATCTAAAATAAACCAATATAAAATTTGTCATATTATAATACCATAAGCTATCATCAACTGGGGTTAGGTTATTGCACCTGCCATCTTCACCTGTCCAAGGCAACCAGCTTACCAATGTCATTGCTTCCTCAGCTTCTCTTTCCATCCACCATCTCCTCCTTTGCTTTGCCCACAGGTCCCCTTCATTCAGCCTCTGCGCATATCCAAATAAATGAAGTCAGACTTCCCGGATTTTGTCATCCACATCATGGACTTTGATATCCATACTTTATGCTTTTATTATTAAATCCATCTCACCATGTCACTCCTTATGGCACAAGGACATCTTACCTCAAACATCTTTAGGGACTGAACCTGTTGTCTGTATCACCCATGGTTCTTCACTACACAGTATGAAGGTAAACAGATGAGTTTTCAGTTTCAGTGGCATAGGCTTGTCATAAACAATCCATATAATATTATTCCACACTCACTCAGCTCCCTCCTCTCTGCACTGTCCTTCATGACCCAGTTCCCAGGGAGCTGAATACGCCATGGCTATGTCTACATTGGGAAGATTTTGCACAAATATTTTTAACGCAAGAGTTTTTGCGTTAAAGTATTTGCTCAAGAGAGTGTCTACACTGGCATGTGCTTTTGCGCAAGAGATGTGCTTTTGTGCAAGAGCATCCGTGCCAGTGTAGACACTCTCTTGCGCAAGAAAGCTCCGATGGCCAGTTTAGCCATAGGGCTTTCTTGCGCAAGAAATTCATGTTGCTTGTCTACACTGGACTCTTGCGCAAGAACAGTTGCGCAAGAAGGCTTATTCCTGAGCGGGAGCATCATAGTTCTTGCACAAGAAGCACTGATTTCATACATTAGAACTTCAGTGTTCTTGCACAAGAACTCCCTGCCAGTGTAGACAGGCAGCATATTTTGCACAAAAGCGGGCGCAAAGCCTTTGGCTTTGTTTTGTGCAAAGCCTATGGGTATGTCTACACTACAGAGTTAATTTGAAATAACAGATGTTATTTCGAATTAACTGTAATAGCTGTCTACACATACAAACCGCTATTTCAAAATAAATTCGAAATAGAGGACCCCTTATTTCGAACTAGGTAAACCTTATTCTACAAGGAATAACACCTAATTCGAAATAGCAAATTCGAAATAAGCGATGTGTAGACACTTATTTCGAATTAGGGAGCCTCCAGCCCTTCCCAGTTGCCCCTGGTGGCCACTCTGGGCCAAAACAGGAAAACTTCTCTGCCCTTAAAGGGCCAGGCTCTGGCCACAGTGCCTGTGCCAGTTTCTAGCCTGCCAGCACATAGCCAGCAGACCATGCACCTGGCACACCATGAGCCAGCCACCCGCTGCCACCCAGCTCTCCACTGCTCCCCAGGACCAGGCTGGTGGCTCCTAGGAGCCTGCCAGGGACCTCAAAAGACTGCCAGGTCAAGTACAGGAGCCTTCCCGGGGCCGCAAGAGGCGGGCGCCTTCCTGGTTAAGTGCGGAGATCGTGGGCCTCTGAGATTTGGGGGGAGGCCTCCAATGCCCATGATCTCCGCACTAGGCACAGGAATGCAGCTGTCTACAGCCTCATGGCTGCCAGCCTGGCCACCAGAGGCCACAGGTATACCCAAGAGCAGGTGTGCTGCAAAATTAAAAAGCTGCGGCAGGCCTATGCCAGGGCCCCCCAACCAGGGGCTGACCCAGAGGCCTGCCCTCCCTTTGAGGCCCTGGACTGAATCCTGGGGGGTCAGACGGTCCGTGCCCCCTGGTCGTCATTGACCCCAGGGCAGAGGGCCCTGCCCCTGACACAGGGGAAGAGGAGGAGGAGGACAACGGCAGCCAGGAGCCTACAGGGAGCCTGCCCTGCACCCAGGAACCCCGAGCCATCCCAGAGAGCCCGTCAGCAGCCTCATCCGAGGCCAGGGAGGCCTCCACATGTGAATGACATCACGGTCCCCTTATGCGGGGCGGTGTGGGAGGGGGAGCCCAGGGACCTTACCCCGGGGAGAGACACTGCACACTGCCCTCCCTCCAGACACAGAGGCAGGGCACATCTCCCCTCCCCCACTCGACCACGATGCAGGCCCTGCTGGGCCTGGCATTGAAGGCCTGCTGGGAGGGGCAGAGGTGTCCAGTGTAGGGCTTCATGAGCTAGGGCTGTAGGGGGTAGGCCACATCGCCCAGCAGGCACACTGGCATGTGCATGTTCCCGACCCTGATGTGGCAGTCGGGGAAGAAAGTCCCGGCGTGCAGCCTCTGGCACACGGAGGAGTTGCGGTACACCCGCATGTCATGTGCCTTGCCGGACCAGCCCATATTGATGTCTGTGAATTGGCCCTGGTGGTCAGACACGGCCTGCAGGATCACAGAGAAGTATTCCTTCCTGTTTATGTAGAGGGAGTCCTGGTGGTCCAGGGCATGGATGGGAATGTGCGTCCTGTCGATTACACCCCCGCAGTTGGGGAAGCCGAGGGCGCCAAACCCCTGGATGTCCACATCCAGGTGAGGCGGACAATTCTGCGGAGCAGCACTCGATGGCTTTGACCACCTGTAGAGAGGCACACAAAACCGAGGGTCACTGAGATGCCCCTTTGGCTGTGAGTGTTCTTTCCCTGCCACTGCCCTGTGCCCCACTCCCATGAGCAACCCCCGCTGCAATCCTGGCCACCGTGGGTAGTCTGTAGCACAGAGAGGGCACTTACACCATCTCCCCACCATTTTCCCTGGGGCAGCGCACGTCCTCCTTGCAGCCCCCCGTCCTGGCCCCGTGGCCGGTGAGTGCCATACCTGCATGAGCATCTCTCCGACGGTGGATCTCCCCATGCCGAACTGGTTCCCGACAGATTGGTAGCTATCCGGCGTGGAGAGCTTCCAGAGGGCAATGGCCACCCGCTTGTGGAGGGGAATGGCAGGCCTCATGCATGTGTCCTGTTGCTGCAGAGTAGGGGCGAGCCACTTGCAGAGCTCCAGGAAGGTGTCATTCTTCATCCTGAAGTTCTGGGTCCACTGTTGGTCTCCCCAGCGCTGCAGAACAATGTGGTCCCACCAGTCGCTGCTGCTGTCCAGACGCAGCAGGGCATGCTGGCATCTAGGCGCCACTACTCCAGGGCCCCCGGGGCAGGGAGGTAGGGGGAGGGCCAGGCAGCCTCCAGCAATTGCTGCCAGGCTTGCAACAAAGCATTCAACATGAGCACCAGAGTGCCCAGGGGTGGCTTTGGCTCCATGGTGCTGAGTGCTGCGGTGTCCCAAAGGAGTGCGACCAAAGCAGCCGGAGAGGAAAACGCTTTGCTGTCCCTTGGTGAGGTAGGCAAGCAAGCGGGAAAGCTGAGAACCAGCTGTCCAGGGGGGTCCCTTTAAGCACGAGCCTCAGATAGCCTCAGATAGCAGCCACACAACGCAACTACTGACCTGATGCCCTGCTGGAATCGGTTTCAGCTACGCATAAATGTGATCCAGCCTCCAATCAGTGTGGATGCCCTATTTCAAAATAGAAAAACGCTATTTTGAATTAGATTTTGGGTCTAGATGCATTATTTCGATATAGCTTATTTCGAATTAAGTAATTCAAAATAAGTTACTTCGAAATAGCGCTGTAGTGTAGACATAGAATCATAGAATCATAGGACTGGAAGGGACCTCGAGAGGTCATCGAGTCCAGCCCCCCGCCCTCAAGGCAGGACCAAGCTCCGTCTACACCATCCCTGACAGATGTCTATCTAACCTGTTCTTAAATATCTCCAGAGAGGGAGATTCCACCACCTCCCTTGGCAATTTATTCCAATATTTGACCACCCTGACAGTTAGGAATTTTTTCCTAATGTCCAATCTAAACCTCCCCTGCTGCACTTTAAGCCCATTACTCCTTGTCCTGTCCTCAGAAGCCAAGAGGAACAAATTTTCTCCTTCCTCCTTGTGACACCCTTTTAGATATTTGAAAACCGCTATCATGTCCCCCCTTAATCTTCTTTTTTCCAAACTAAACAAGCCCAGTTCATGAAGCCTGGCTTCATAGGTCATGTTCTCTAGACCTTTAATCATTCTTGTCGCTCTTCTCTGTACCCTTTCCAATTTCTCCACATCTTTCTTGAAATGTGGCGCCCAGAACTGGACACAGTACTCCAGCTGAGGCCTAACTAGTGCAGAGTAGAGCGGCAGAATGACTTCACGAGTTTTGCTTACAACACACCTGTTGATACAACCTAGAATCATATTTGCTTTTTTTGCCACAGCATCACACTGTTGACTCATATTCAATTTGTGGTCCACTATGACCCCTAGATCCCTTTCCGCCATGCTCCTTCCTAGATAGTCGCTTCCCATCTTGTATGTATGGAACTGATTGTTCCTTCCTAAGTGGAGCACTTTGCCTTTCTCTTTATTAAACTTCATCCTGTTTACCTCTGACCATTTCTCTAACTTGCTAAGGTCATTTTGAATTATGTCCCTATCCTCCAAAGAAGTTGCAACCCCACCCAGTTTGGTATCATCTGCAAACTTAATAAGCGTACTCTCTATCCCAATATCTACATCATTGATGAAGATCTTGAACAGTACGGGTCCCAAAACAGACCCTTGCGGAACTCCACTTGTTATCCCTTTCCAGCAGGATTTAGAACCATTAACAACAACTCTCTGACTACGGTTATCCAGCCAATTATGCACCCACCTTATCATGGCCCTATCTAAGTTATATTTGCCTAGTTTATCAATAAGAATATCATGCGAGACCGTATCAAATGCCTTACTAAAGTCTAGGTATATGACATCCACCGCTTCTCCCTTATCCACAAGGCTCATTATCCTATCAAAGAAAGCTATCAGATTAGTTTGGCATGACTTGTTCTTCACAAACCCATGCTGGCTATTCCCTATCACTTTATTACCTTCCAAGTGTTTGCATATGATTTCCTTAATTACCTGCTCCATTATCTTCCCTGGGACAGACGTTAAACTGACCGGTCTGTAGTTTCCTGGGTTGTTCTTATTCCCCTTTTTATAGATGGGCACAATATTTGCCCTTTTCCAGTCTTCTGGAATCTCCCCTGTCTGCCATGATTTTTCAAAGATCATAGCTAAAGGCTCAGATACCTCCTCTATCAGCTCCTTGAGTATCCTGGGATGCATTTCATCAGGACCTGGTGACCTGCTGACATCTAACTTTCCTAAGTGATTTTTAACTTGTTCTTTGTGTATCCTATCTTCTAAACTTACCGTCTCTCTGCTTGTATTCACTACGTTAGACACCCCTCCAGACTTCTCGGTGAAGACCGAAACAAAGAAGTCATTGAGCATCTCTGCCATTTCCAAGTTTCTTGTTACTGCTTCTCCCTCCTCACTAAGCAGTGGGCCTACCCTGTCCTTGGTCTTCCTCTTGCTTTTAATGTATTAACATACATTAAAATACATACCCTAATTTACTCTTATGCCACTAATCTCTATGCTCAGCTTCTCTGTGGAACCTCTAATAATCACATGATTTTAGTCTGTCGTGTTTATTTTCACCCCATGCAAGTTTAACTGGTCATACTATTGGTTTACTATGTCTTCTAAATCCTCTTTTAAGGATTCCCTTATTGCTATGTTACCTGCATATCATATCTTCTCTCCTTCCCCCATTGGGATCTTTCTGTTGACACAGTTCATCAATAATAATAAACAGCAGCAGATTTAGGGCCAACCCTTGGTATAGTATACCTTTTACTTCAAAAGGACTTCTCATTCTGAAATGGGTTTGGATCATTGTTTAGGTGATCTCTATAAGGCATTCACCATTGTTATAAATCCTCAGATACTCCATATTTTCTCAACACTGATTTGAACATTCTTATATCCCTTTTATTGCATGCCTTTTCTAGGTCTATAAAAGCCACAACGCTATGTTGCTAGTATTCTAGCTGCTTCTCTATTACTTGCCTAATCACATATATGGCATCTGTGGTTCACTGTCCTTTCCTAAAGCTGAATGAGTCTTGTTTGAGGAGGGGTTCCCCTACCATAATGTGTACACATATATATTCCATTACCATTTCTTCCAATAAATATAGAGAGTCAATGCACCTCCCACTGAAACATCTCTGAAGTTAAATGACAGTATTGAGATTTTTTTTTTACTTGAATGAGCAAAGGGTATACTCAATCTCAAATTAAAGGACATGACAAGGAGGTAATCTTTCCTCCTACCTCTCATCTTAACTCAATTGATAGCTCTAGCATGTGTCCTGTCTTATGGTGTCCTGGACACTCCCAAATTATTCTGGCAGACAAGGCATCTTGCAGTGGAATGTAGTCCCAGCTCTGTTGGGGTATGTCTACACTATCCCCCTAGTTCAAACTGGGGGGGGGGTAATGTTGTTAAGGAGTTGCAAATGAAGCCCGGGATTTGAATTTCCCGGGCTTCATTTGCATAAAGCCGGCCGGTGCCATTTTTAAATGCCGGCTAGTTGGGACCCCGTGCCGCGCGGCTGCACGTGGCACGGACTAGCTAGTTCGGATTAGGCTTCCTAATCCGAACTAGCTGTACGCCTCGTGGAACGATTAGGAAGCCTAATCAGAACTAGCTAGTCCGTGCCGCGTGCAGCCGCGTGGCACGGGGTCCGAACTAGCCGGCATTTAAAAATGGCGCCGGCTGGCTTTATGCAAATGAAGCCCGGGAAATTCAAATCCCGGGCTTCATTTGCAACTCCGTATGACAACATTACCCCCCCTAATTCGAACTAGGGGGATAGTGTAGACATACCCTTGGTTAGTAGGATCCTGAGTGAAGGTCTGATTACAGTTTTATTTACCAAATTCTAACCAGTGGTGTGTCATTTTCACAAAAATCTATAAAAGCACTTTCAATTTTTTGCAACTTCTTCAGAAGGAAGTGCCTTTTACTTGCAATAAAGGCGTCCAAGGAACAGTTTTGTTTCTGACCCGACAGGGGAATAAGAAATACATTGATTTCTCTTCACTCGTAAAACATTTAACATATCTTGGTACTCTGTAATTTTAGGACTCCTATGATTTATATTTTTAAAACATAATTGAAACCCATTAGCAGAGCCTTGTTAACTTCCCAACAAATTGGTAAAAATGCTTTCTCCTCATGTAAAAGAAGTATTCTTAAATTAAAAGCAGTTGCTATTAGTTCTTTTCTCACCATAATATTGTTTGAATTAACTTTGTAGTGTAGACATACCCAAAGATAGATAAGGAACTTGTTAAAGGAGCTACAGATTGAATTTCACTACTCTGGCACACTCTGGCCTTGCAACATCTGTGGTCCAACATGATTTTAGTTAGTTGGATGTCCACTTATGAGGGATCTGGCCAAGTTTCCAGTGATTCCATAAAGTTTGTTTACAGCCACTGGTTCTGTGCTGTTATTTAGCTCTAATTTACCCCTAAATGTCATCTTAGAACTAAGTAAGCAGTGGAAATGTTGGTAATGGTGCTAGACAATATGGACCACCGATGGTTCAGCAAATTCTCTGGTTCGACACCAGTCAGGTCCCAAGGGTACTAGACTAGAGAGGTTCAACCAGTACTACAATTACACTGAAAGGTGAATTGTCAGGCTGGAGCAAGGTTACTAGTGGAGATCAGTTTTGGAACCAATCTTATTTAATGTTTTCATTCATGACCTTCACACAAAAAGTAACTCTGCTAATAAGATTTGTAGATGACACAAAGTTGGGAGGTATTAACAGTACAGAGGAGGACCAGAGCATTATACGAGATCTGAATGACCATGAAAACTGGAGTAATTGTTATGGGATGAAATTTAATAGTACAGTACAAAGTTCAAGTTTGTGATTATAGGGACTAGCAACAATTTTTATGTTAGACCAGGAAGCAACAGAGGAAGATAAAGACCTGTGTGTTTTGGCTGATCACAGGGGGACTATGACTCACCAGTGTGACATGGCTGTGAAAAAAAAGGCTAATGCAATCCTAGGATGCAAGGCAAGGTATTTCCAATAGAGAGAGAGAAGAATTAGTATCATTATACAAAGCACTGGCAATGCCTTCTCTGGAATACCCAGTGCTGTCCTGGTTTCCTACCTTTATGATTAATTGAAACTGAAATAGGTGTGGAGAAGAGCTATTAGGATGATTTGAAGAATGGAATCTACCTTATAAGAGGAGACTCAAAGAACATGGCCAGTTTAGCCTAATCAAACCAAAGGCTGAGAGGAGATAAGACTGCTTTCGATAACTACATCATAGGGTAAATAAAAGGAAGGGAAGTGTTTTTTAAATTAAGAGCCAATGCTGGCACAGAAATAAATGGATAAAATTTATTGGCTATTGGCTATTGCCAATTTTAGGCTTGAAATTACTTTAAGGTTTCTAATCATCAGAGGAGTGAGGTTCTTGAACAGCCTTCCAAAGGGTCTATCAGAGTCAAAAAGCATACACTGGCTTCAAGACTGAGCTTGATAAGTTTATGGAGGGAATGGCATGATGAGACTGGCTACCATGGCCTGTGTCCC